CACACCACGGACACTAGACTCACGGGCAATCAATGTCTGACGTCACTGGTTGTCAGCAACGTCCACACAAAATACGTGGGGGGCGGGGGTGGGGGTGGGGGTCTTCAAAAGACTCACTCACAGGCAGACAACAACAAACATTCCTCGAGACTCAACCACGGACCCTACAAGGCTTACAGGGAGTACCCAGGTTCAAATCCTCCACAAAGTGCACATCTCTAGCTCATGAAATGTGCAGCTCCACCTTTCGTGTTCTGACATCGCGCACTCATACAACCTTATGCAGTTGCGAGCTCCGTAAATCCCACACTAATTTAAAAAAAGGTGTACTGACAAAGATAAAACAAACTGTTCACAGAGTAACCAAGGTTCAAATCTACAAAGTGCACATCTTCTCTGCTAGCTAGCGCATGGAATGTGCAGCTCCACCTTCCGTGTACTGACAAAGGTAACGCAAACAGTTCTCAGAGTACCAAAGTAGGTTCAAATCCACAAAGTGCGCTTTCTCTCTTGCTCATGGAATACGAAGTCCCATTTTTCAAGTACATGTACTAAAACACACAGCTCTAGAGAGATGAGCAGAGTAAGTCCGATTCCCTGTAAGGACTTCTCTGTTGACATCCACCCCTTGGCGCTCATATGACCTTATGCAGTAGCGAGCGCCGTAAAGCATCTACTAAAACAAACAGTTCTCAAAACAATCTGGAATGACGAAACCTCCCAAGGTCCTGGGACACTTATGATGACGTGACGTGGGGAAGTAAAGAATCCTGACAACACATTAAATTACGACTTGTATCCGCCTTTCCGATAACAAGTAAAGGAAATAAGTAGTAGTTATATCCTGCAAACAATCCTATCAAAAGAGAACAATCCTAGATAATCCTATCCTATGAGAACAATTGTACCCAGTAAGGACAGTACTATCAAATGAAAACAATCCCATCCAATCCCAGACAATTCTATCCAATGAAAACAATCCTAGACATTCCTAGACAATCCTAGACAATCCTTTACAATGAGACAGTCCATTTCAAAAAGAAAAATCGTATCCAGTGAGGACTCTATTATCCAATGAAAACAATCCAAGACAATTCTATCTGATGAGAACAATCCTTGACAATCCTATCCAGTTAGACAGTCAAATCCAATGAGACAATCCTATCCACTGAGACTGTCATATACCAGTGAGATAATCCGAGGAAATCCTATACAACGAGAACAATCCTATCCAATGAGGACAATCCTATCCACTATCACTATCAGCAGCTTCGAGCAGTTTTTCGGACGTGCGATACTCCAAGCCACAGACTCAACTCTCGCCAGGTGTGTGCACGTCTGTTACACGTGTGTGTGTGTCTGTTTATGTGTGTGTATGTATGTGCGTGCGTGTGTATGAGTGTCACAGAGGAGCTGTAGACGTCACAATACCATTGTTCTGCGCCCGCATATTGAGAATGTGAGTATGGCTGTTAGAGGAACGTGCAGTGTGTGCGAGTATGTGCGAGGGAGGACTTGGTATTGTGTGAGTGGGTGTGAGAGTGTGACCGAGCGTGAAAAGCGGAGGAAGGGGGGG